AGAAATTCGTCCTGTGGGTCCTCACAGAAAATTACTATCTAATGTAATAAACAACCCTCTAAAACTATCCTTCCAGTAAACATTGTGATAGATTTTATGGGGCTGTTCCTTATAATGCACCTCAATAAAGGTTGATGGCTTCTTACCAGAACTTAATGCGATAAGAGGACTTTCACAGAGTACCCGTAAGACGAAGTCCAGGGCCAGCTTTGTGGTGGTCTGGCTTATTCCAAGAATGGATTTTAGAGTATCGAGGCTAGGCGGAGTTTGGGCATCAGGAGAATCTGTGAACCTCTTGAAAATTGGTGTGTGTGTGTGCTGTAGGTGTGTTTTTTTTCTAAGGAGCTGATATTAATAGCACCATTAGCCTTCATCAGATTCTCAGAAGGGGTCAAGAAATGGAAGAACTGAGCATTTTAAATGTTGTTCCCTTGGTCAAGCTCTATAAAAGTTTCTGAGCAACAGTGAGATCAGGGTTTTGGTTACTGAGAGAAAGAAGTTCTATTAGCCGATTCACTGCAGAGCCATAAGCTTCAGCAATCAGCTAAGTCAAGCATGGGATTGATTTCCTTTTTTGAAAATTATGCTTTATAAGGACTTCCACTAAGAGGTTCATTTGGCAGGGCCAAAATCTTCTTCAGAACGAAACTTGGTGTTCATTTAATATAGAGACAAAATGGGCAATAATACAAATTATATATAATTTTTATAAAATCAACCAAAAAAGTAACATAAAGAAATGTTACATTTAAGAACAACAGATCAAAATTTAAAGATATAATCATTTTATGACTTTGCTTCTAATCCTTTTTTGTTATATTTGCAACTTAATTTAACCTTGATTTTATTTCTAGACCTGTGTAGACTCCTACTTTTAAATTCACCCTGAATGTTGATTGGCAACAGTGCACTTCTGAAACCAGTGGATGCTTGTGAAACTCTCTACTTTGTTTGGTATTCAAAGGTCTTTTAGCTTCTTATGGTGGATGCCTTTCCCTTTCAAAGGAATGTAATTTGCCATCTGAAGCCCTTTGGGATCATTAAAGAGCTCCCCTTGTTTGCCCAGTGGTCCTAGTTGACTAGGAAGGTTTGCTTCTCCCTCTCATTTCTCTGTATTGCACCTCACTCACAAGCAGAAGCAGGAAGAAGACAGACACTCATATTAATAATTGGTATCACTATCTCTTTCCAGTGAAAGGAGTAATTTCCTCTTCACCTAAGAAAAAGGAAGAAAACTGAAAAAGCCTTTCCCTCCAAAAGTAATCTGCAATCACCAGGTTAAGTGATTTTAAGGCAATGGCATTTTCTTCAGCCTCTTTCAGCTATTAGAAACTGCTTTGACAAGAAAGTTTCTTAGAACAATTCCTTTCAAAACTTGTGTCTGTACTAGATGAGGCATTTTAAAAGGTATAATTCAAATAGAAAACATCTGTTTTTAAAAGATAGCTTTAAAGTGCTTTTGCCACATTCTCCAAGAAAGTTATTAGAATACCCATCCCTGGCTACAGAAGTCCAATTTTTCAAAAAAGTGGTCTTCCTCCAGCCCGTGAAAAAAAGGGAGATTTAGGTTGGGCTGAACACAATCAAAAAGTATTAATATTTTTCCAGTGTCATGCAATATGTTAATTTTTCAATCTAGATTAAGTTCAGCTCCTAGCACCATTTTGGAACATAATTTTAGTGATTAATATATGAAGGAATTGGGAACTTTTCTCATTTCTATTTTTATTTTTTTTAAAAAGTCATTTTAGAACTACCCTGGCAATGGAACTAATATTCCATTGTCTCTCTTTTTTTTAAAATGCACTTTTCTAGGCTCTTTACAAATTAAGGTATTTTAGTAGAGAAACAGGAATAAATTAGGAAGACCTTCATCTTAAGACTCCTCCCCTTGAAATTTTAATGTGCTATTCATTCATTTGTTTTTTTTATCCTTCCACTTACTTATTTAACATATTTATCAAACAGCTACTATGTGCTAGGCCGTGTTGTCAGTGACTGCACAAAAATGATGAACAAAAGAGACAGGATCTCTTTCTTCTTGGAGGGTAAAGTCCAGTTGAGAAGATAAACATTGAAGAAATTAATAAAAAATAGCTATAATAACTGTACAACACAGAGAATGAGTCCTAATGTAAACTAGGCTTTACTTCATAATAATGTGTCAATATTGGTTCCTCAGTTGTAACCAATGTACCATACTAATGCAAGATGTTAACAATAGGGGAAACCGATGCGAGTAGGAGTGTGTGTGTGTGTGTGGGGTCAATGTGGGAACTCTGTGCTTTCTGCTCAGTTTTTCTGTAAGCTTAAAACTGCTCTAAAAAGTGAAGTCTCTAAATTTAAAATAAAAAAATTTAAATAGCTGTAAAAGATAATCATTCTACAACAGAAACAAACAGAATGCTATTAGGAAGAATAGTGGGGTGACATAATTTAGACTGAGGAGTGAGGAAAGACCTTTGTGAAAAAGTTTTATTTAAGCTCAGAAGTAGAAGATAAGTAGGACGTAGCCAGGCAAAGAAGTGAAGGAAGAGCATTCTGAGTGAAGCAAAGTGATATTTGCATTGCCTATGAAAAAATGTCATTCTAGATTTTCTGTGGAGGACGGTTTGTGTGGAGTGGGGATTGGAGATAGGGCAAGAGGACAAACCAGGAGACAAATTAGGAGGCAATTATAACAGAATGGGCTACAGCTTTTGCTTTCTACCCAACAAAGTACTGGAAGAACAGAATGATGGTAGGCTATTTCCTTTGTTCAGCTTATCGTTCTTCTAGGAAGAAAGGGACTGTGTCAACGGCAGCAAGATAAGGTTTCCAGGTCTCAGTTCTGAAGATCTTTCCAGTGGCTTGATAAGATTTATGGAATTAAGAACAATTGTGTGTATGCACACACGTGTGTGTTTGAGACTACAATCAGATGAAAATTTTAAGGGGGAAAAAGCCTTCAAGTACTAACTATGCAGCTGTAACAACGTATTTTCATAGAAGTATATAAGATTTAATTTGCAATGGTTATCCTTATTCCTATTACTGGATTGTTGGAATTTATTTTTGATTTTGTTTCGTTTAAGACTATATGTTGAAAACTTGTTGACAAGTCAACAAAGAGTACCCTTAAGAAAGATCCATTTCAGCAGAACACTGCTTTAGTACATCAATATTGAACAGTTCATTTCACAGTTCCTAGGGACAATGAGCTCCCAAAGAAAAAAAATCCTAGTGGGGAGTAAAAGGAGTGCTTGCCAGGATAGATTTCTATTGATTCTGGAGCTGTTATTAGTAACATGGAAGCTTGACTAGTTCAAAGTTCTCTTTCCACTTAAAATTAAGCAGTTGTGCATAATCTGCTTCATCGTTTGTAATTTATTTACCTGCCCATGTGTATGTGCACTCAAGATTTCTAAAGCATTAATTATTTTTATGCATTTCCTTTACAGTAGAAAAATTGTATATGAGGGTTGTACATTATAAATAAGATTTGTTAATGTGTTGAAAATGTTTACCAAATAAGTATGCATTTCATAGCACTTGGCAAATAATGATAGAAAATGGTTACTATATCTATTTATATTACTATCTAGAGTTAGGCTTTTTTGTATTCCTGGAAACTCAAACACTAAGAAAGAATCCCCCGTTTAAGTAGACCTGTTGTTTATTTTAGGAAATAGACGTGCATCACCAATGTAAGTAGTCGAGTTATGAATATGGAATGAAGGGATAAAATAAAGTTTGCCACTCTGATGTCTCCATTAAGAAGCTCTTCTGTGTAAAATACTCTATAGTAAAGTTGCTTCTATTTAAAGTAGTGAGTTTGATCTTGGCTTTGATCTAAACCTTTTGATCTTGAAAGGAGGATGGAGTAGCAATAAAGAGAGGGCAAGACAGATTTTCTTTAAAGAAATGCGATAAAGCTAAAGGGATGGTCAAGATCATCAAGCACAAGTCCACCCGACTCTCCTCCCGGCCTCGCCAGCAGTCTGGCTCAGTCAGGCGCTGATGCGGATGGGAAGGAACCCTTTTGGGGGTTGACGGAAAACCTGGGGTACCGCACCCTTTTATAAACTAAGTGGAAGCTTTCCGCCCTAATTATGGAAACGGACCCTTTTAAAAATCCTCCCCAGTCGCTTTGGGGGCCCACAACTTGAGGACTGCGCGTCTACACCAGCCGCGCGAGTGCGGCGTCGGCGGCGCTCAGCTGGAGCGCGGCGGCTCCCGCGACGCCTCGCCGGCGCGCCGGGCTCGGTTCTGTGCGCTCCTGGCCTGTCCCCGCGGAGGTCACCTGTCAGCGCCCGGAGTCCTGAGGGGCCACTGCAAAACGTCTACTTAATGGCGTCTAATCCATTCCTGGAGAAAACTCCATTAGGAAAGTTACTTTCTCCCCGCAAAAGCCGTGGGGACACAGGTTTCTGACCCAAGGAGCGAATTCAGGCGGGGTGGGGGCATTTCTCCTCAAGCCCCTTTCGCCTGCGGGCGGGCCGCACTTGGGCTCCTCCAGCAGCCAGAAACCCCCTCCCTGGTCCCCCGAGGCCCGGGGAGGTGTGGCGGTGGGAAGGTAAGGAGCGCGCGCCCGGGGTCTGTCGGCGCGTGGGAGGGCGCGGGAGCGCGGACGCAGGCAGGACCCCGGGAGAGAGAGAACGATGTTTGCAAAGAGAACAATAAAATAGCTGGCGCGCGGGCGGGGGCGGGGGCAGGGGCGACCTGCGGGGAGGGCGGCGCGGCCGCCTATACCTTTAAGGCAGGCCCCGCCCCGCCCAGCGCCGGCGCCGCCGCGCCGCCGCCCGCGCCCCGCGCCGCCGCCGCCGCCGCGCTTGAGGTGTTGCGGGCCCGAGCGCCCGCTGCTCCGGCCGTGCGGGCAGGGCGGGCAGGGCGGGCGCGGCGCGCACTCCTCTATTCTCGCCTGCCGCGGGCGAGGTACAGGGTCGCGCCGAGTTGGTGGTGGCGGGGAGGGAGGCCGGGCTGCTCCCGCGGTAAACTTGACTGTGTCCCCTTCCCCGCAGCCGCTGCAGAGCGAGCGTCAGGCCGGCGCGGAGGGCGGACTCGCGCGGCAAGTGAGCGCCGAGGTGAGTACCGGCGCGGTCCCCGGCCCCGTCCTCCCCCGCGCGCCGGGCCCGCGCCACCGCCCCCACCGAGCCCCGGCACCCGCGGCGCCGACGCGAGACAGCTGCGCGAAGACGGCCCTTGTTCCGGCTCCGGCACGCGCGGGCGGCAGCGCCGGCCCGTGACCTGAGAGAGTGGCGGGGCGAAAGGTGACAGCCTCGGCGCGCCGCAGCCTCGAGCGACGCGCGCGGCGGACCCGCGAGGGCCCCTGCGCCGAGGCGGCCTGGCGAGCCGCGGAAGGTGCCTGTGGCTCCCCAGGTGAAGCAGGGAAGACAGAGTCGCGTGGCCGTGCCTCGTTTGCCACGCCGGGGGGCGGCCCGCAGGACCCGTCGCCTTGTTTAAAATGCTGTGTGGTTTTTGAACTTCAGGTCACGAAATGGGTTCGAATGAACCAGAGACCCCGAAAGCGGAAACGAAGGGAGAAGAAAGAGGTGTTTGAAAAGGTAGGGTTCCCGAAAGGGAGTACTGGGTGAAGGTCTTGCTGAATCTCTTCTGCCCCTGAGGACTTGGTCACAACAATAGAGTAGCAGTTTTAAAAACAAGTTTTTATTATAATAAGCCATAGATTAAGTTTATGCGGATAGTTTTATAGAAATATTGGTTGATAAGCCTTATGGTCATCAACATACTATATTCTTCTAAGTAAGAATGACCCGGGAAGATTTGTTTCATGCTCATTAAAAGAGGACTTACATGGGTGCCATTACTATTTTAGACCAGTAGTGTTTATTATTGCAGTGTTAAGGTACCTCTGAAAAATGAAAAGTGTTCTGAGTAAATCTCCTACAGTATTAGGTTTGTATGTTTGGTTGTGGTAGACACAGTAGCACACTCACTCACCTAGACTTTAAATTGGATTTATCTCAAAAGTGGAGAGAGATGAAATTAGTGGATTACTTTTAAAACACTAGGAGGGATTTTATTTACAGTAAAGCAAATGAGAAATTTGTTTTCCTAAGTTTAGAATTTCAGTATGTTACTTAGCAGAAGTTTGGACTGCCTATTTTGTCCTGGAATTGTATTAAGTTAAAAACTTGGTTTGTCATTGTAATAAATATTATGAAATATGGTAAGTAGTCTGCTGTTTTCTAAGTGACTTCTATTGAAAACTCTTAAAAGCGAATAGTGTTTTTACAAATATTACAGCAAGCATGATTTTTATTGCTTTTGCTTAATTTTGGTGCTCTGTTTTTTGATTCTTGATAGCACCAAGGGATTAAAATAGCGGTGGGGTTGTTTTTCTGCTGCTAGAATGTGTGATGAATCACTCTTGATTCTGAAGCCAAATTCTTGCTGATAGCATTGCTGCCAACTTCTGTGATGTGTTGCCTTAGTATGGGCATTGCAGTGTCGAAGAATGTGCACAAAGCACATCATAATGAAGGTGATACCAAAGTTTCAGAGTGCATTTAAGGATACCAGAGGGCAGCTTCTAAGAGAGTTGGAAAAAGAACTGGCTTATGAGTATGGTTGTTTGTAGCTAGACATTCAGTGTGTGAAAAAAGTGGTACCTCAGCCCTTTACTTTTTAAATAGTCATATGTGCCATATAAGTTAAACAGTAATGGAAAAAGTTGTCATTTTGAGCAGACTTGAGTTTTCTGACCATACCTCAGCATGTTATGGAAGCTTGTGTTTGTTTAACTTCTTGGTTTAGGTGGGTTTAAAATGTTTATGAAATGATGAGTAAGATCATAAAAATATCCAAAGAAGGAAAAGAATTATGGCTTGCTTAGTATTTTTTTTTTAAGTATTGTAGCTATTACTTTTTAAACCAAAAATAAGATTACCTGAATGCGCAGTGTATCATGTAGAAAAGAAGGGGAAGCCATTATTATTGTGGGTTACTAGAGATTGTCACTACCAAAATCTGAACTAGAAGTAACCACATTTGTGACACCCATGATCTGACCCCTGCATCTTCTGAGAAGGGGTGTGGGAAGGGAAAATGAGGATTTTACCTTCGAGGAGAATGAAGTTCCTTGCTCAACCATTTCCCCTTGACAGAGGCTACTATATTAGAACTTAGGGGGAGGATACTTCTTTGCCTTTTCTTCTTGGAAAATACGGGCAGGAGTTTTAAAGAGAACATGAAAATAGAGTAGGTTGGGACTAACATTCCGAACTTCCTTTCAAAGAATGAAGCTCTCAAAGCTGTCTAGTTTTGAGGGTAGAGGTGGGAAGAGCAAGAAGGTGGGAAATTTCAGAGTCATATCAGAGAATATCAATTCTCCGTGTTTCCAGTCGTTTTTCCCGGCTCTGCACAGCACTCCCGAGCCCTTTGCCCACTGTTTTGCCTCTGCCACACCCAGGAGAAGGTTTGAAGATATCCGAGGCAAAGCATGCACTATTTCCAAGGACCAGGTGGGAGGGAATGCCATGAGCGACCAAGGGCATCGTAGGAACTTCTGAAAGGTACTGATGCATCCTGCAGCTAGTAGGTGAGGTGTGTCCCCCTATTCTGCACTTAATCTTAGCCAAAAGGCCGAGAAGCGTTTTGTCCCCCTATTCTGAAATACAGATTGAGTTCTTTGATGATACGCATTCATTCTGAGATCATGTGTTAACCTTTTGCTAGGATTTGAACCTGTTATTGGTGGGAACCTATGTAGTTCACTTACTGTTGAGTATCCTCAGTTACTTTTTAAAAATGTCTGCCACAACACAGTAGAAGCAAATTATTCAGTTTCTCCTTTTTCTGCATCCACTTGTTTCTCCTACATTAAAATAAAACTATGATGTTTTCTGATATTATTCATTTTATATTACTATAAAATAAGTAAATGAGTTTTAGTCATTCTGGTAGGCGCACATTTTAAATCTAGCTGTTGCCTCTATTTGCCTACTTTGTTTTCCTTGCTCCCTTTCATCCCCTGTCCGCTGCCCTCTCCTCCATCCCCCAAGTGTCTGTCTGCAGCTTCAGGCCTCTCAGGATTCAGCTGACATGAGTGAATTTGGTTAAGTAGTCTGTAGTAACTATGCTAGGGTCATAACACTTTTCCTCTGATAGAAGGGTGCAACTTTTACTGCCTTGTGGAAAGCAGAGCCTTCTGACCTGCCTGAGAAAGGAAAACAAGAGCTACAAGGCAAAGTCAGACTTTTGACAACTCGAGTTGGGCAAGGAACTGTGAGTAAGGAACATCTTACAGGAGGTGTTTGTTTTCTCCCATAAGGAAAATCTTGAAGGTGCTGAGTGGTAGGCACAGCCTGATGTAACTTGAAATACTAGTTGTGTTTTTCAGTGATCTCACAAGGGGAAGCAAAACAAACTCACCCTGTGCTCAACTGTGGGTTAAAATAACGAATAATGAAATAAAATAAATTGGGTGACTAAGATGTACCACCCAGATAAAGTGATTTAAAACCCTCTCCTGGCCTTCCCTGGCCTCTCCTACCATCATTCCCACCTACCAGATAGTTGTACTGTCTTTCTATGCTGTCTTAACAGGTTTTAATTTCTTGCCTCTCTGAAGATGCATCATTCTCTCTTAGGCATCTTCTCATATCTTCTCTGACATTGATTTCCATTTTATTTTGGCTTCATATTTTAGCCCTTTTCCCCCATGGTTGTAACTGAACTCTTTTGTTTTTTGTTTTCTTCATTTAAAAGGACAAAACTCCCCTCTCTTCTGCTTCTGGTTCTCCTTCCATTCTGATACTCTATATATTTTTTTTTTATTTTAAGTTCCTTTTATTTAGTTTGAATAATTTTTGCAACAGAAAAGCAAGGAGAATATGAACTAACTGCACAGAGAACACTAAGGATGAATGGATTAGCCAGCTCTACAAAGGGCAGGTTAAAAAATTGCAATTGCAAAAGTGAATAGTATGTGTATTTTTAAAAGTAATACATTTGACTAAATGACTATCGATTTTGGTAGAACACACTTTTTTTCTGTTTTTGCTTTTAACTGATTTAAAGATAAATACAAATTATGCATCACAATCAGATTAAGGGATAATGTTTTTTATAAATATAGACTTATAAAATATAAAGTTTTAATAATTTTATCAGTATTCTAAGGATTAGGATATATAATCAAATATTATTTTGTAAGATGGTATATTTAAGGAAAATATATGAATAGGATATGATTCCTTTAGAGAAAGAAAATACCAATTTTCAGGTTCAAAAGAAGCACTCTTCCTGATTTATGCATATCTAACCTCAAACTCCTGGGCTCAAATGATCTTCTTGCCTCAGCCTCCTGAGTAGCTGGAACTACAGGGATCCACCACCACCCCTGGCTAGTTTTTCTGTCTTTAGTAGAGATGGGGTCTTGCTTTTGTTCAGGCTGGTCTTGAACTCCTGAGCTCAAGTGATCCTCTTGCCTTGACCCTCCAGTGCTAGGATTACAGGCATGAGCCACAGCGCCTGGCCTCTAAGGTTGGCTATTATTAACAAGCGATCCTTTATGTGCCTTAGTGTGTTTCCAAGCCAGTGGTCTTGGCCAGCGTGAGATCGTCTGGCCTCTGTTAGGATTAGTCATAATGAACACTAGGTGCAAACGGTTTCCAGCAACAGCACCCTTTAAGGTTACCTTAATTATTCGTTTCTGCCAGAACCTGAAAAACAATACTCTTAAGCTACTCATTACTCAAATCGTTTAAAATTTGGTGAACTTTTTTTTTAAATATCCAGAGTGAAACATGAAAATCTGGAAGGATGGCTGTGAAGAGTGTGGACTTCATAGTATTTTAATGGCCATTTTAATTGGGGCCAAATGATAAATTCTGTTTTCTGAGTCTTTAAGAGAAAAGAAACCAAAAACTATATTCTTTGTAATAATTTCCTTCCTAAATTCTGGCGCATTTTCACTCTATTCTGATTTCTTTTGTTTCCTTCTACACACTTGACTCTGAACCACAATCAGTGATAATTTTAGTTTCAATAATTCTCAGACTTTAAAAATTGTATATGTGAAATCCAGGTTGGTTTGTGCATTTTACAACATTTATTGTTCTTTTTAAAATTTTATATATTGTAAGAGAATAGTTTTAGTTCTAATATTGAAATACTCAAAATGATAAAGGTAGGTACAAATTTTAAATTGTGTAACAAAGTGCTTTACTGCTGTTTGTTTTTTGTGACAAAGGTCTATTTTATATTCTGTTTATGATTTCTGGAAACCAATATTAAGACTAATAAAAATTATTTGGCTCTTTCTTAGACCCGTAACAGCAGATGGTGATTGTGTTAGGCTTGACTCCAGAGCTGTCATCACACAGCTTAGCAAAATGGCACAGGGTGAATCTCGGGAGTGCTGAACCAGGGGTGCCCTCAGTTTGTAGGCGCTACCCTGCCTTCAGCAAAATGGTAGGCTTAGGCAGACACTCTTATGCAACTGAGGCAGCATTGGAGTTGAGTGATTTCCCAGGCATTGGTGCCCTTGCCTCTTTTTGAGAGTGCTGTTGCCCTGTGAGAATTCATAACTAGTCTACAT